GTGTTTATCGAGTCTTCGTCCATGTACACAGTCGAATCGTCAGCTTGATTATCCAAATCAAGCCCCTCTGGTTGTTCGTTTTCGGAGTCTTTCACCGCTAGCCCAACCTGAACTTCGCAACTTGAATCCGACGGTGCCAAACACGGTTGCCCCGCACGTTTTGCGGATTCGTTGATGAAAGCAATCACCTATGTGGGGGCAGGCTTTAGGCGCCATGTTCCATAGGCGCCATGTTCCATGTGTATGCCACCCCGTCTTCTAGGGTGCTCGGTGGGCAGAACGCAATGCCGCCCTCGCCTCTTCCGTCAATTCCATAGAGTTGGCCGCCAACGTCGACCCCAACAAAGTCCTTTCCGGACTTCAGCCCGTTGTTGATCGACTCCACGTATGAAAAGTAGAGATGGATTCCCCCACTTTGAGTGGATGCCTGTAGAGTCGGAGGGTCCCCATGTTCCGCAATCAACCGCTGCCAGAGGGGCATGTCGGCCATGATATCCTTTTCAAGGCTGTCCTTTGTGTCTATATCAAGCACATAGACATTGGATATGGCGCCAGACTTGATGGCTGCAAAGTTGTAACCCTTTTCTTGAATGAATTCCATGATTCTTCCGCGTGCAACATCCCACTCGGATCCCGACCTGATGGCATTAGCACCGTTGGCATGCGGCATCACCCCCTTGATTTTTTCCCCCCCGTCCTTTTCTCGTATCACCTTTGCTGGGACAGCGTAGAGCCCCTCGCGCGCAAGGTCATCAAAAGTGGAGATGGAGACTGTCATTTCAATCCAACCTGGTTTAAGGTCGGACGACCTCTTATGTTTTCAAGGGTAGAAATTTTTCGTCAGCCTGAAACGCGGCGCACAAGGCTTGATTGGTATCTGACCCCTCCTAAGTTTTCCACCCTTGAAAACACGTGCAGTGGTGCATGTTGGATCGCCATGGAGCTACTTTGCTACCGGGGGGCTTCAGTGCGACCGATGCATTGAATGTTTTTGTCTAGATCCTTGCAAATCTACTTTGGAAGCTCAATATGATCGGAGCATCGGGCTAGCAATCTGTGCTTCGTGCAACCTCTCTTTTGTGCGTGTGCTGAGCTTGCTACCCCGCTCTGCTCGCTCAAGAGCTTTCTTTAAGAGTATGGCCTCTTTATGCATTTCGTAGTAAGATTTGGCGTAGTCCCGCTTCTTTTACTGATATTCTTGCTTGTAAATGGACGCCTCCATGCAGAAGGGGCACACGTTTGATGCGTGGTTGTGAATGCTTGTAGAGTCCATTTTGAGGCAAGAGAATCGTTTGCCGCTATAGTTCTGGGGTAGAAATAAGTTTGTCAGCTTGAACGCGGCGCACAAGGCTTGATTGGTGTCTGACCCCTCCTAGGTTTTTCGCCCTTGAAAACACGTGCAGTGGTGCACGTCGGATCGCCATGGAGCCACTTTGCTACCGGGGTGCTTCAACGGGACCGTCGATGCATGAACAATGTTTTTGTCTAGATCCCTGCAAATCTACTTTGGAAGCTCAATATGACCGGAGCAGCGGGCTAGCAATCTGTGCTTCGTGCAACCTCTCTTTTGTGCGTTTGCTGAGCTTGCTACCCCGCCTGCTTGCTCGGGTGCTTTGTTTAGGAGTATGGCTTCTTTATGCATTTCGTAGTAAGATTTACGGTGTCTCGCCGTCTTTAACTATATCCTTGCTTGTAAACGGACGACTCCATGCAGAAGGGGCACACGTTCGATGCGTGGTTGTGAATGCTTGTAGTGTCCATTCTGAGGCAAGATGAACGGTTGCCACTATAGTTCTAGAGATGTAATTTAATCACTTTCTCTCATAAGTCATCATGGCAGTTGACCAATCATGTAGCATGCGGTCGGCTAACTCCTTCCTCTGCGTGATTGAATGATCGTCTTTGAAATGTTCGCTGATGAATAGATGACGTAGGTGGTTTTGATTCAATCGCTTTCCTTTTGAAAATGTGATCGAGCCAATAAACTTTGTGAGGTAATTATCTGACATAGCTTCTGTTGTGGTTCCCAACCGAGACAAGAAAAAGCCCCTAGGAACGAGCTCGATAGATCTTTTGATATAGTTGTTCAGGCGCTGTGAGAGTTCGAACTCTTTTGCCCCATATTTCTTGCTAGTCTTGTAGGTTTTCAGTACAAGCAGAAATTCACCACTCGTGCTCTCACGGAGACAATTACCAGTATCATGATATGCTGCTTTGGCTTCATCGCAATAAAAGCTCCCATCTGCTCTCCGAAGAGGAAGACCGCTAAGATCTCTTCTTTTAGGTGGCTCGTGTATGTTCATAACCAGCAATAGGTGCTGAAAAACACACTTTACATTCTCTCTGCTGACACCTGCACCGTTGGTTTTAATGTTTGGCACAATGTTCCTCCGGATGTGTCTGTTCAGCTCTTCTGCTTTGCTTTTCAGTTCGTCCATGGTGATCCAATTGGCAGCTTCTTTCTCCGTTGCCTTCTGTTCACCGGCCTTCTTCATTTGAGCCACCTTCTTCGTTTGAAAGCTTTCAAAATACGTTTTGTATGTGTTCTCCCATCCCGATTCGTGCGCAACAACCAATAACGGTGTCAACTTGTTTTTGAAGGTCCCTGGATTTGGATACTTTGAGTTGAGTTTTTCAAGTATGGTAGCAGTATCTTTCATCCAATTCAATGTGGAAGGCAAAACATGTTCGTCAGTAACCAACTGATGGATCATTCGCAAACTGTTAAGGTACTGCTGAATTGTGATCTCAGCCCGTTTTCCATCCTGAAACAGTTTGCGTAAAGCCGCCTCACCTGATGCAATTGTTCGCAAAGTTTCAATATCCCCTCGTTTGTTGGAAGTGGATTCTGTGCTCGATTGCACGGACGCTTCTGAGTCCATCAATATGCAATCTCATATCATAGAGAATCTATAATAATTTTGGAATTCAAACACGCGCCTCCTTGAAATGCGTCCCCTAGAGAATCATGTTTTCAAACTCTCGGCTGCCCAGAATTAATGGTCTGGAATCGGTGTGCGTATTTTCAAAGTTGATTGCCTGGATTGAGCTTACCTGTAACGA